GGGTTAGGCTTAGGGGTACCCTCATGCTGGAGCGGCGCAGCTTCTTGCGGACGTCGCGGCGGATGTCGTTGACGGCCACAGACTCCAGCTGCTGGTAGCGCTGGATCTCCTGGTTGATGGTGCCCTCGCTGGCGCCCAGTTTCCTGGGAGGGAAACAGGCCGGGTTAGGGTTAGGGTTAGGGTTAGCAGAGGAAGCAGCCCAACAACAAGAACAAGAAACACGGCAGCGGGGGCCTACTTCAGGTCGTCGATGACCTTGGCCTGCTCGTTCAGCTCCCGGATGTCCACCACCCTTTTGGTGAACTTCCTGCCGCGGGCGTCCGGCGCCTGGCCGGCCGCCGGCCGCCGCGGGTCCAGGGTCTCCTGGGAATCACAATCAGCCGTAAAGACCCCGCTCAGACCCAGAAACCTGCCCCTCCAGAGGGGGGTATCCCGTTCATTTGGCCAAAGCGTGATTATCTGATCTGAGATCACACCCGGGAGCTAGAGGAACCACCACCACCACTCAGGGATCTGCCAGTGATTGAGACCCAGAGAAGAGCACAGCGGGGCGGGTACATACACAGGCCCAGGAGAGGGGCCTCGGGGCCCTGGCGCCGCCCGCCCGCAGGCGAGGCGCCTCAGAGCCAGAGCAGTCGGCCGGGACAGACACGCTCTGAGGCCTGGGGCTCAAGCCCAGGATGTGGTTTACCAGGCGCCTCTTTAAGGTCAGCCGGGGGCTGAACGGGGTCTCCAGACTCTGCAAACAACGGCAGGGACAGAGGGACAGCTGCACGACTGGACTTTACCCTCTGAGGACGTCTGTCCACTTGGATTCGGTCAAAATACTCCCAAAATACAGACGAATAGGAAACACACAGAAGCTATGGAGAGACATTGGTTAACTGTGGTCGTGCTTGATAATCCTCCCCTTTTTTAAAATGGTAAAATAGGTTTAAAAATCTCCCTTTTTTACCTTGGATTGTAGTTTAGGTCCAAACAGACTCTGGATGAGTCTCTCATGTGTAGCTTAGCTAAAACAAGCTAAGCTAATCAGCTGCTAACCCTAGCCTAGTGTTTGACAGACAGACGTTAGTGGTCTGATCATCTCCTGCTACGTTTCTCTAATGTCTGACCATGTTGACGGTGGGGGACATCGTGTCGTCTTCATCCTCGTCCGACAGGTAGGCCATGGTGACGGAGTTCATGTCGGTGATGTCGTCCACGTCCTCCTCGCCCGTGAGCGACGTGAGCGTGTTGCCCAGAGAGTTCAGCCGCTTGCCGATGTTGGGGTCCATGTGCACGTCGATGCCGCACATCTTCCAGAGCACATTCAGGGTCCAGGTGCCGGCGCTGCTGCTCTCTGTGCCCAGGGACGAAACCCAGGGTTAGGGTTGGGGTTAGGGTGAGGGTTAGGGTGAGGGTGAGGGTTAGGGTTAGGGTTAGCCCACTGGGTTAGGGTTAGCCCACGGGGCAGAGCTTGCCTGCAGACGGCTGCCCGGTGGTCCTGGAGCAGACCTCATACGTTCCATCGGGGACGATGCCTGAACACAGAAAACAATTCAGGGCTCGTCTGCAAAACTAACCATTTCTGGCCTCTATAGATCATCTCAATGTTATTTCTTTGGATTCCAGTCCCACAGAGAGAAACATCAAAATGATTTCTGAGCCGAATCTGTCCTCTAACTCTCATATATACACGTTTCTAGGACTACCTCTTCCCCCTTCGTAACATCTCCAAAGAAGCATCCTGTCTCATAAAAACATTGGTTCCTTCAGGATTGGACTGCTTTGGTTGTTTATAAAGGGTTCCTCCTGGTTCTGATGGGGTTTTTTCTTCCCACAGTACCCCTGTAGGGGCTAAGGACTGAGACTGGATCACAGAGAAGCTTCCAGCATGTGATAGAATGAACTGGCTGAACTGGATTGAAACAGGTGACATTTGTTTTGATTTTACAAGCGAAAGTCAAGTGAATTAAACTTAGTGGAGCAAATATCTCGTTTTTTTTTTAAAGTTTTTATCTCCACGTTTAATTGCAAACCTTTTCTTTTAAATATATTTTCAGAACAGTAAACTAAAGCTTTAAAAGCTTCACTTTTGCAGATGGGTCTTTAAATCCATCTCAGACTCACAAGCATTCATGACGAGTTCCCCGCGGATCTCGGGCTTCCAGTCGTCCCAGGAGGTCTCGAAGCCCTCGGCGAAGCGGATGCAGAAGTTCTTGAAGTGGCCTTTGCTGACCAGAGACTCAGAGGAGCAGGCGGTGATCAGCGTGCTCTCGATGGTCAGAACCAGCGCCGACCCGGTGTCGAAGTCGATGCTGTGATTGGCCTGTTGGGACGGAAGGGGGGGGTTACTCACAGCCCCAAAGAGGTGGGGAAAGGACCCACTTCCAAGAGCTGAGAAAAAGGCAGAGACAGATGGTAACATTTCAACCTTTTCTGGTTTCAGGCAGAAACAAACTAAAAGGTCAATCAGAGGGAAATGTTACCATTTGCAGAGTTTATTAACAGAGATGAAATCACCCGAATTACATCCATTAATGGTCCTAAAACAGAAATCTGATTGGCACCTCATCGCTAAGGGGGGGTCAGAACATGCCAACCTCTGCACAAAAAAATCAGACCAGGAATTCAAGTCATTCTACCCCCTCAACATGCTTTCTCCAACAGATTTTATCCAGAAAGACTAAGTTTGCGTGTTTGAACCGCTTTGTGTGTAAAAACATGAGTATTTTACAAAGATTTGACCTCCAGCCTCACGGCTGTGGTCACTTCCTGTTCGGAAAGGCTCCTCAAACACGAGGTCACCAGAGATTTTGATGCTCTTTTCAGCATCCAACTCCTCAGGTTCACTCTGCGTAGAGCATTCAAAATCCCTCGTAATTTGGTGTATTTAAGGAGCCTTTCTGAGCAGGAAGTGATCACAACGGTGAGGCTGGAGGGAGAACTGGTGGAAAACGTTTACGTTGGTGCTCCTGTGTGCATTCGATTGGACAAAGTTACACACAGAGTGGTTGAAACAAACATGGAGCCAAGCTGGACTAGTTTTTCCTCCTAAACCCACTATGGCCTCACTACCTGAGAGCTGAAGTTATGACTAAATCACACACATATTTGATCATTCATGTGAAAGCAGTGCAACACAACAGCTGGCATAAGCTTCCTGTGAACTCAGGCCTCGGTGGGAGTTATACCAGCGTTGTGGAGGCATGAAAACAAAACAGCATTTCTTTAAGACTGATTTGATGGGAGGGCATCACAGGAGGCCGCCGTCCCACTTCAAGCCATCACAACAAACTGTCCGGTTACTTTTCGAGCGTTTTGCTGCTGGCCCACGGACGCACTGGCCCCGGCTTCGGAGGAGATGCCTTCAGGCCCCGCAGCTGCTTGTCCTTTCTATGGGAAAGATGTGAAATGACAGCTGTAGACCCACAACAACCGCTGATGATGAGCTATGTCTACAGCCGGACCAAAGAAACAGCCTTCCCAC